GTCGGGCGCTGTTCCTGCGTCCATTTCCGGTTGTACTGACATTTTTTGCTATCCGAGAAGAGAGAGGAGAGAGAGTTCGGTTGACTTTGTGCAAGTCCGCCTTATAATAATCTAATTCATGGCCAACTAGCCGATACTTCGTCCACTCAGTGGAGCACGTAGTGGAAAGTCATCGCTTGCAACGGTCAAACATCTTTAGTGTCGGCGGCGAGAAGGCTCAGTGTTTATTCGCCGGATCTGGGGGGGACTGGGAACGCAATTGTGAAAGCAAACAGGTGAGGTGCAACTGGTTTTCATAGATCGCAAATATCTTAGGATCCTATTGTGCCAAGGCATGCTGTGAATGTTTAGATCACAGCAGTTCACGTTCAAGAGCCAACATGCATGTAACAATTAACTGACAAATGCCTTTGAAGAAGGGACTTTGTTCATGAAATAACTCCATGGCCACTTGAAAGATATCCCCAGGAAACTTGCCGTAAGCTAGCCTAAAAGCCCCATGACCGCAGTCTAGGTGCTATGTTTCTATTCACATGAACGTCTACCAGCAATATTCACGATAAGTAACACGGAGACAGTAGATTTCGACAGTTATGCTCGAACAGTAACCCTGAAACGGATTAAATTTAACTAGGCAGGATTATTTCACTGCTACAGGTTAATCGAAGCATGACTCAGACTTCTGAATAATTCATAACTGCACATCCACAATCAAAAATTCGGCTTTGGATAAATTCCTAAATAAGATTGCTTTTCAAAAATTACGTTGCCCTAATTGAGGACTGAAGTCTAAGAGTTTTTTCAATACGGCTCGCAGCTTACTCAAAATAAGCGAGATTGAAGTAGTTTGCTTCGCGTCGAAAATGCTGTCCTCTGTGCTTGAAGGCGGATCCACCAAAGAGCAACCGACCACAAAACCACACCTAGGGAGCTGCGTCAAATTAAGGAAGTAAAATCCGACAGGGAATCTGGGACTGTTCTTGCGAATAAAACATGATAGCGCTGTAAAAGCTGTGTCGACTTTAGCCGACCTGAGCAGATTCCCAAAAGAAACCGGAAACAACTGCAAAACGATGCCATTTGATCGCACCGCAAAGAAAATCCTCGGAGTTTAAAGACAAGTAGCTTCTTCTGGCAAGTCAAGTCTTCCAGCGCGGCCTACTGGAAATTCACTAAATCGGTCTTAAAAGTGCACTCAATGCCAGATATGTACAAAACGCCCAACCGAGTTATTATGAAATCTGCAGCTGACCACACTGTTCAGGTCAGTCCAGCGCGACCTCGCACAATACAGCTTCCATGAGACACGAAACCCGGATTTCAACAATTTAACTCTCGCTGTGGAGCCTCTCATCCCATGCGAATACTGGCATTTACATCGGCTCCTTCAGATAACTGAAATCGTACCAGCTCTTCTATAGCACAATCATCCATAGACTGACTACTGTACAGTGAACTTAGCAATGTCAGTGTTTATAACATTTCGAATAGGCTGTTTATCTGCACAGTTTCAATAATTCTTCTGCAGCCGTTTGACGTTCTCGTCTTCCAACTCTTTGATATACTTCCCTTTCTTGTAAGAAATAGGGAGTTCAAAGGTGCAACGCCTACATTTTCCTAAAATAAACTGAACTGAATGAGGCGACAACCGGTCTGCCTCCACAAAGTCCAAAAATGTGTTCTATATAGCAGCTAAAGGAAACACTTGGCTCTCATAAGTACTTTCATAAAGGGAAACCACACGCCGACAGAATAATTCCGAGGCGTGCAGGAATTCGACCATTAGACTATTGGGCGCATACGGTCAAGAAAGAAGGTTTGATGAATGTCGGTCTCCGGATGTGTTGACAAACGAACTGCTGAAACCTTGTTTGGAGCCGCCTACACCGTGGGTCTACCTCTGGAGCTAGTTTGGACAGTCTTCACAAGTACTGTGACTTCTTCATCAAGAATATAGGGATGGGCTGTTTCTTTGGGCCTCATCCATATACGCCTACTCTTCGATATGCTCCACTGAAATAGGCTTTTTCGGGTGCCAGTACCGAGCATCTCTCCAGAAAGAGTCTAAAAACGATGCCCTACTTAATTTTGATTGCGCAGGACTCTATCCATCTCGAGCATTTTCCTGGCTCACCTAGTGGACACGGATACCCAAGTGGACCCTAAAAAGCTTGCTGCGTTTCTAATAGTTGCTGGAAAACCAGCTAAAACGACTACATAAACGCATACGTGGCATGACGGTTGCGATTCCCATAAGTCTGCAACCCTATCCTGCACTCAAAAGAGCGTTCCGTTCCTACTCTGGCCTTGACTTGCCCACTTCAGACGAGTGCCTCTCCACCACACAGCATGCCCCCGCGCAATGGATGAAGGAAGCAGAACGGACTCACGACCTAGGGCGAAAGGCACACGCGAGCTGCAAAATATATGCGCTAAATCATCTAGCCAATCAGCGTGCGTTTCAGCACCAGGTAAGCCGGATGGCCTTACCCGTGCCTACAACCCACTCAATGTCCGACCGAATGCTGGCATTTTCGCACTAGGGGGGGCTACAGCGCCAGATACAGCCAGTCCTCACCAGAATCCAGCGTGTTCTAGAACCGCCCTGAGTCGAATAAATTAGTCGAGTTTTGACGAGTTCGACATCGTGTTACAGGGAATTGACGGAAACACAAGATTGCGCCCGGAGCCCGTCTTCCTCTCTTATCCACCCATCAGGACATAACACTCCGCCTATCTCCTGGCGATGGAACTCCCGTCCCAACTTTATTCGCTCGCGTCCCTCTCCTCCTCCTCCACCGAAGAATCGATAAGCTTGCGCCCTTAGTCACACGCCAAGATCATGGGGTTGACCCGATGTGCCCCGCTATTGGACTTGCCTCATCCCATCCTCGGATAGGTTGTGTGTTCTGCTCTAAGTAGTAAGCCAGTTATATCGTTGAGCAAGTGCCAGAGTCGACAAGTGAGAGGGGTATTTCGATTGGGCACAGTAGGTGACAAGACCTTTCAGAATTCATAGGTTCGCTGAGTTGACCGAGGCGTCGTAAGCCCTAAAATAGAACCCCTCCCCCCTCCCCAAAGTCTAAGTAACCCTCATGGGTAGATTAGTTTGTGTGCACATACGGTTAACAAACTGCTCTTAGATATGAGGGGAGTTTAAAAGTTCATTCTTATTACGCAAAGGTAAGAAGATAAGGAATAAATGATGAAGAGGGAATGAGACAGACGGACAGACAGGAAGAGAAGACGAGAACCAAACGTTTTTAGTCAACCAAAATGTCGTAGGCTTGACGCATGCGACAAAGACTGAATCGACAGTAAATCAAGATGAGGGATTGGAGATTTCCAGCAGTCAGAATTCGTTCGCTCATCTCAGTGGTACCCTCAAACGTGGTATGATGCGGATTGGTTGAAAGGGCTGTTCTGATGACTGGTTTTCCTCATACGATTCTTCCAAGAGATGTGTCATCAAGGCTTGGTGACACTCAGTAGGAGCAAATTGTGATTTTCACAAGCAGACCTATCTAACAAGCAGAAGAAGCAATGTGCTGCACTTAACAAAAAAAATTTTGCCATTGGGAGAAAACAATCATGACGAAGAAATTCATATTGGGCGGTTTTTTTTTCTTAAATAGTGAGTCTTGACGACAAGTCGGCCCGCTCTTTCGCCAGCGTAGTAAGGGTAATATATAAGAAAGGATTGAGTGCGGAAATGGAGGCCGCCTGAAGCCCAAATCTTATAAGAAATTTCTGAATAGGAGATGTCGTGTCTGAAGAAAACGCCAAATTCTTTACTCCAGCCTATGACGTCATATGAGTCGAAGCTGGACGTTTCAATCTCCTCGTAACTTCTGCCAAGACTTTCTCACGACTGACTACTCGTCGCTAAGCGATGACTCACGCGGACTCCAGATCGCAACACTCAGCTAGAACGGAACTTTTGATTTCCGTCCCTAGGTCAACATGGATCTGTGCATGCTTCTCTTGTGTGACCTTGAACACTGCAAATCAAAAGCGAGAGGGTATTAGCACGTGCTTCAATCATTAGACTCCTCACCAAGCCCCACAACCCGACACTAGCAGGGGTCTTCGCATCAACACAAAACTCAAGATGCCCAGGACGTTAATCCTGATGACGCTGCTCTCTGGAACAGCGACCTGGACAGTCTACGAGAAAAAAACAAAGAAACGCAGCCACTTCCACTTAAGCCGTCTGTGGAGAATTCTGAAAATGAGGTGACAAGACAGTATCCCAGCCATGGATGTTCCCGAACGAAGCGGGTCTTCAGCATTCACGTCATGCTGAGACAGATCCGACCTCGATGTAGCGACCACGTAGTGGGGATGGATGACGGGCGCCTACCCAAGCGCGACTCTTCTACGGCGTCGCCGCCGTGGATGCTCACTGACAGGCAGGAGAGAAAGGATGTTACGAGGGCACCTTGAAGACCTCCTTCAAGTACACACAAGTCAAGCCGGCGGACTGGGAGGACATACCGCAGGATCCGCTGGCCTGAAGAGTGCTGCAGATGCTCTGCCAGTCTGCCATCATTATCACCCAATTTACGCGCAAGTCACCCTCCTCTGCCCACCATATTGTTGGGCACGATAGACGGCATCGTCCGGCTCCGGCTGCTCCGCTCAAAGCGGATGTTGCGAAATCAGCCATGGAGACAACTTCAGTGTAACTAAGCGTCGGTGCGGCCAAATGTCACTTTGTTTGACAAAGCAAGTTCCAAGCATGAACTGGAGCAAATATGTTTGGAGCTATAAGAAACAACCAGAGCGCACGTCATGGGCATGACCACCGTAACAAGGTTTACTAATGCGACACAATTTTGCCTTACCTCTTCCTTTGCACGTCCATTTTGGAGGTTATGTACACGCGCTTGCATGCTTCCGATTTTGAAAGTATTGTCGAGCAGGCCAAGGGACTGCCACAATGTCGAACTCTGCTGGACGCATCGGTCTAACTGAACCATTTGTCTTTCCATCGACAGCTATTGAGGGGGCGGACGAATCGCCGACCGCTTGCACAACGTCCTCATGGCTTTGAACTTGTTGATTGGTCCATCATCTAGTTGGGCACGCAGACCGATGTTGCTGGGTTCATGGCACGGATAGTAGGTGGAGGTGCTGGCCATCCGATTGCCTGATTGATATCGCAGACTGGCCCTGGCCGGCAGTTTGTAGGGGTAGTAGGCGGAGGACATGAGGCGAGGGAACATGACCTCGAGCATGCCTAGGGCGAGCGCAATGTGCGCGAAGGTGGGACCCGCGATGGTGAGTCGACGTCGCGGCAGCCCGTTCACCACGGACTTTACGCCATGCAGCCGACCCAGGTGGATCTTGCAGGAGGAGCGCAGTTCGACACAGCTGAGACGCTTGTCCAGGCGCTCCAACTGCGACACTAGTTTTTCCGTCTCCTCATCCACTGTTTGAGCACGAAAGAACTCGACGCACTGCTTCCTTCGGAAGGGCAGCGTGTCAATATCCACCTTCAGGGGGGGGGAAGAGAGAGAGAGCGAGGAATGGTGTGGTGAAACTGGCAGACAAATGAAGGCACCTGAAATTGGCGCTTAGTTCTCACCCAAGAAGGAGACGAGATCGGACGACGACAACAACACAGGGGATTGAATGATCGGATCTTATTTCGTAGCCGTACCTGCAGTAGACAAACCCCAACTTAACACCTAACATCTAATCCCAACCCCAACCCCTAACTCCAATTCCTGACCCCCAACCCCTTACCCTTAACCTCTAACAAGTACGGCTACGAAATGAGATCTTGCCGATTAAATATTTCTACCGATTTTGAGAGAACTTCAAGTCTGTGCCTAATTGGTAGTCTATGCAGGCCCTACTGAGCCTGCTACACCTGGGAGGGGGGACAAGGTCGTATGTGGCAGGCGTTGATGAGTCACTGCGCTCAATTCAGTCACCCAGTGGCTTGACAATTTTGGACAGTGGGCTGGTGCTGGGGGGCGGGGAGGGAAAGAGCGAGTGCGGCCGCCGACACTGGTGAATCCATCCCCACGGCAAAACAATTCCTTCCGCATCATAATAAATCTGACAAGTTTGGACCTACCGCGACGCGCCAGAAGTCCTAACTGGGAAGGTTTCCAACCGACGAAACAACTTGGTCCTTCTCAGGACTGGCAATCAGGCTGCAGTCGGTTCCCTTCTTCCGCCCCCAAGCCGGTCAACAAAAATTCCTATAAATGTACTTCATCGGTGATGACAATGACGAATTGAATACACATCGTGGAATTTCCACCGGAAAAAACGGTTCATCGTTTCCCAACTGCAAGAGTTTCTTCATGAACACACCAACTTATTGCGTTTCTTCATAACCGCAATTATCATGATGCCATCTGATACGCACAAGATTGTCATTCATCCAGAGAAGACGCCTGCTGGACAACATGGACGACGATTCAATGTCCCTACTATAGACGAAGTGGCAATTGCTATGGTCGGAGAACGATTTCAACGTAGTGCTATTGTTCTTCATTGGCGAAACGATCAAATGACAAGAGTTGCTGAAATTACATCGGCGCTACGCTGCCCTGCAGTATCCATTTTTTGGGATGGTGCCGGTGGATATTGCTTCAACGTTAAGATGAGAAATCCAGTCAGTGACGAGGAGACGCACATGAAATGCGGCGCAATGAACTACTACTAATACCGACTTACGATCCGACAGAATGTAAGTAATCTCCTTTTGAAATGCCGTCAATTGTTTCACCATTACATTGTGGATGTGTATGCAAAAAACGAAACAGAAAGCGTGTTTTTCATCCGCCTGCATCAGACCAAGCTGCGCCCTGAAGAATATATTCCTTTGCATGATGCAGTTGTAAACGACGGTGATACAACTAACGTCGGAAGACTAACGATTTTGTCATCCACATCTACAAAGAGTTCACGTCATGTGTTCGAGTACGCTCGAGGTGTAATTGCTTACGTTTGTCAGTACGGGCGTCCAGACCTTCTCATTACACTCACATGCAATCCCGCTTGGTGCGATATTTACCAGTTCCTGCTTCCTGGGCTAACGCCGGTGAATAGGTATAACATTACAGCACGTGTTTTCAGGAATAAACTGTAATCGCTGATGAACTTCATGGTGAAACACAAGGTGGTTGGGTCTGTGCGCTGCTGGATGTATTAGGTGGAACGGCAAAAGAGAGGACTGCCCCACGCACATGTCTTGATCTGACTCTATAACAAGATCACTTCCAACTAAATCGACAATGCGCTGAATTACCTGGCGCCCACGTCGACAATGATTTGCATGAAGTTACGGCGAAGAATATGATACATGGACCTTGAGGTGCACTGAATCCCAATTCCCCCCACCCCCACCTCCGGCATGACAGACGGAAAATGCTCTAAGAGATATCCTCGGGCATTCGTATGCAACACAGTTACCGGTACCGACGGAAGTCCCTTATACTGAAGACGGTCACCGGAAGACGTCGGCAGATTGGTAACCGTACGAATGCGAGCCGGTGACATACAAGTCGGTAACCGCTGGGTTGTTTCGTATTCGCCTTTGCTTTTAAAAGCAAACGAAGCTCACATAAACGTGGAAAACTGCAATTCCGGGAAATGAATTAGGTACATTTGTAAGTACGTTAATAAGGACAGCGAAGTGGCCGTTTTCGGCCTTCAACACGAAAGAAGAGAAAGGGATGCGGACATACAACTTGATAACATCGCACAGTATTGGGCTGGAAGATGCGTCAACAGCAACAAAGCCGTGTGAAGAATTCTTTCATTCCCCATCCATTAGCGAAGTCCAAGGTTTTGTTCACTTGCAGTACAGTTAGAGAATGAACAATGCGTTTACTTTACAGCTGCAAATGTGCAACAGGTTGCCTTAGGTCTACCGGCAACAACAGTACCTGCGTTCTTCACGTTAAGCCAAACTGACGCGTTTGCAAAAACACTGCGGTATTCGGAAGTGCCTACGTATTACACAGGGAATGCGTGCAGAAAATCTTTTGTACGACGCAAACGAGGAAGCCGAGTGGAAGGACACCCCGGCATACTCAAAGCAACTGCGATAGGCAGACTGCACACCGTGCATTCCAATCTTACTTCGCATGGTGTTGGTGAATGTGATTGGCAATCAGTCAATGTGTCATTTACGGCACAACCATAAAACTCCATGTCAGCCTGTCACAGAATTTCCTTCCACATTTTGCAAGTGCTCGTGCGCCTTATGACCAAACCCTGCTGTCCTCCTCGAAATCAGAATGTAGATACAGAAGCCGACACAAAAGGACAGAAATCCCAGAACTGTCCAACCATAAGACGAAAGTTGCGCTGGGCTGGAGTTAGCGCAACTCCTGCTACCCCGTTAGCCACCCAAAAAGGGGGAAGGAGAGCAAGATCGCGGAACGGCCTATAATGACTCTGGCGTTATTTACTGCTTGTCATGGGTTGGGTATGTTGAGTTGGAGGACGCGAACTGCTCCGGCGTGGCAACACAGACGGTAAGCTTTCTGTAGAAACGGTTGCTTATCAGCATTTGGATCGTCTTCGATGATGACGGACCTTAGCTTTAAGGAACCACGAAACTGGTATAATCGGTCCTGCAATCAGATCAGAGGAGTAAAAGCGGCGCCCGCTCACTCTAAATATTGCTAGTTGCCGCTGATAGACAACAGTCATGGGACTAAATTGAGAGAGAAAAAAAGAGAGCATAAAGCTGAAATACCAGTTGGGCCCGCGTTCAGATATCAGACCAGTTCTGTCGGAGTCGAAGGTAAATAAGAAGAACGGTTTACCAGACCAGTCTCTGTTGTCTTTACCGGCAATTCTTCTGAATTGATAGTTACTGACCCCGATTTGGCTGTGATCCTATCAGATTTGCATGGGCAGTTACGAAGTTTGGACTGGCTTTTACGCCAGAACTATAACCATCAGGAGCTCCAAATTTCTACATCCTGGCGGCCTCAGCGCCCAGTTGCGGTGTGCATAAGATGTCCGCCGAAAGTCATGAAATATTGACTGGAAATTTAAATATGCTGTCGAGGGGAAAAGTTCGCCTAGGTACTCTTACTGCGCTGATCCGCGTGCAAGGTAATCCTTAAACTACACCTATGAAAGCATCGCTACTTAGGCAATCATTCCCCTGACTTTGGGTGACTTTATAGTAGAAGTTTCCGGAAGAAGACATCAACATTAGAGTTAAATACACCTGTCGTCACCTACCTCAAAACCTACTGGAAAAAGTCCCTCATATGGAGTAATTTGGCTGGAAGCGGGGTTTTAGGGGTGAAAATTTTGCTCAGCTACCGTTCACTTGTGTCATGCACATCAACCCCTGACAAAGCTGAGGAACGCTTTCTACCAGGAACTTTCGAGAATGTCATCTACCTCTGCTGGCAGTACTCAACTGTCAAAAACTCGACCGTGCACGCACCGGCGAAGGCGTTTCGTCTGACAGAAAATAACGTGAAAAACCTAAACTCGTCGTGCATTTTGTTTGCTGAGGTAGTGAGGGACATTTAAGCATCGTGGGAATCCTAGGTCGTCTAGGTCTGAAGTTTGATGTGATTGGCTGACGACGGCCAATGGACCAGAAATAATCATCTCCACCTGCGTTGTCTTAGTTGACACGCTCCCATCTGGTTCCCATGCGACCGCCTGCGAGGGTTCTGAATTGAGACTCGGGACGCACGGCTAATGAGCACGTTCCATAACCTGGTAGATGCACTCTCCTTCTACTATAGCGAATATTCCTGATCACAAGCGACAGGACGATGAGTTCCTGGCTCAACTTTTGATCGACGGATAACTTAACGCCTAATGACCAAGGAACGCGTACTAGGATCCCAGGTCATCCAGACATGTGGCCAAGTATGGTTGGTTGACGACGGCTAGTATGCCAGAAATCGCCATCCAAGCCTCCATTATCTCTGTCAGAACTTCTCTGCATATTTATCTCTGCAGGATTTATCAGAACTATGGCTGTTTACCACTTTAGCATATGAACAGCCACCGATTCGGACGGCTAGAATGGTAGCGGTTAGAAAAACGGATGAAGTTGGGGTAGATTGCTATCATAGTGTTTACCACAGATTCCCTACCTCTTTAAAAGGTCGGATCACAGTTATTCACTTGATATTTTCACTAGATATTTTCTCAAATTTCCTATTTGCCTTTATGCATGGCTTTTCATTTGCTGACACAGAACCGAACTTACAGTCCTTCCGGCAGAGTAGACGTAAACCACGTAATGGCATCGTTGTGTTTGACAGACTTTCAACTCATCTTCACTCGCGTCGTCAAGGTCGTGAGCGGACTCAGGTACAGGTTTTACAGGTCCAATCAGCGCGGCGATGGAGGGTCTGGACATTTTTGCACATCGAACCGCACTGAATGAGCGTCTGATCTGCGGATCCATTACTTTCAATTTGCCTGGCGGAGACTTAGATCTTTCAGGGACAAGCGAACGCGGACGGCCTGAGGTCATTTTGTCAGCACCCTGGCAGTGGTTTAGGGTGAGAATGAAGACAGTGGGGACCGGTCGTCGCTGCCGGCCAGGGAAAGACGCTTAGCGTGCAAATGGCGCAGCATCGCGCCACTTTTGAAGGGAAATCAATAAGCAGGTGGCTGGAGGAGGCCGAGATCAACAGTTCATGTGGCGACATTGGCTGGCGAAAAAACATGCAGTTTGGAGATTCTGATGGGCGCATCAAGATTTCGTTTTCTAAAAGGTGGACATGATACAATAAATTTGGCAATATTAAGAGAAACTCTCTTACCGCGACCTTGTCTGAGTCCTAATTAGTGCAAGGTCATATGCAGTGACCGCCAGTTTGATCGACCAATCACGCGCTGACACAGATACGAATTTTACTGCATGGGCGCCGACACAGTAAGCTTTTTTACAGCCAAGCCTGTCTTCCGGACTGGTAATTTTGAGACGTGACCTCGCAGTAGGTCTCTTTGGGCTATCAGGGTGGGTGACACTGCTGAGGACGACCTTAACTTAGTCATCTCTCGTCATCTTGATTATTACTTAGCTCCGATGTAAAGTGTAAGGGGAGGGAGAGATTTGAGTCTGGTTAGAGGTCAGTCTGACTGCTGCGCTCTGAGCTACCAGGGCGTCCTAACTGTTGCATTTTTAATGCGGTCAGGTGCTAAAGAAGTCAGTTATTTGGACACCTTCGTAAGTCTCAAATCCATGGGAGGAAATCCTTTGGTATTTTTATGCCTCTTGAATGTGCACAAAATGTGACCTCGGTCAATTTATTTGCGGAAAGTGATTTCTTAGAAGACCTTTTAAGATGTCAGTCCGATTGTGACAAAAAGTCGGAGTGAAAACACGGGTGAAGGTCAGTTACCCGCTTTCCCAATTTGAGCGTGAATTCAGTCTTACGACAACTTTCATCGTTGTTATATTTGACCAAAGGAGGTCTAGTTAGTGTCGGCGGAGCAACCGGCGCATGCGTGGGCCGGGAAGATGTGGAAACGAACTAGCCACTGCGACCAAGCCGATCTGCCGTCGTCTTGACTTTGTCTCACCAGCACTGTGCGATTAGTGTGGGAGAGAGAGAGCGCGAGAGAAGTTGAGGTTGCAGGAGTCATGGCTACTCCTCTGCAGTAGTCGCTATCGTTGGAAGGAGGAACTGGTGGCTGTTTGTTGTACAATCTCTTACCGTAGGACTGAGCGATATATTCATAAACACTCCTGTCTGCCTTGATATAACAGAATACCCCTTCTCCCTCTCTCCACCCCTCTTTCTCATCTGCCCTCGTCCAAGTCTAATCCTCCGTCAGAAGGCACTTTATGAAACGCAGTTGCACTTGACACGGGCCGTGAGTCAGAGGACACAGTATGGAATCTGTTCGTGGATTTGCGGTGACATGCCTCGGCTTACCTGGCCATCCTATTTTGACTGCAAGAGGTTCCCATCGGGATGGTCTCCCCTACTTCCCCTCCCCCAAACGCAGCGGCTCCTCTGGCGTATGACTCTGGGAGTACCCATTATGAATGCACTAAAATAGCTGGACAGCGATTTCTGGCGACACCAAACAGACTTAAGCATACTGACGGGAGCCGGGTGTCAATTCTAGTAAATTCGAAGTGAAGAAAAATGTCTTATGCCTCATAACGCGATCTGTTACACTTAAACCGGCAAGGGTATGGTTTACGCCCAAGGTCACTCACTCCGGGGAGTAATTGTGTTGAGGAAAAGAGCCGAACATCCAAGAACTTTGTGGTATCACAAATCATGATCCTCCATACTGTCACCAATCAAAAGGGAACACTATTTTTACCATTTAATGATAATAATAAATACATTTAGTGCCCATGTGGAGACGTTGTCAAAAAGGCATTGCATTGTCGTATTTTTAGACCGATGAATACTTTAAAACTTCTTGACCATTCTAACGTAGCAGCCACCGAGAGTTATTTTCATTCCTTTCTCTGGCACCTACAAATAAATATCGCCAGTCATTTGCTTTTAGCACAATTGCTCCCCAAAGTAAGTAATCCCGGGCGTAAACCATATCCCTACCCTTAAACTCTTAAAGACCTTCTTAAAAGATGAAAGGTTTCTTGACCACGCCGCGTAATACCACCCCAATGGCGGTTGCCGTTCATACCGTCTTCACAAGGATGAAATATTAAGAGGAGGCTTTCAACGAGATGCGTCTACTGTTGCCCTGAGTGAATCTAACTACCTCTCCTAGGGTAGTAGAGAAAGTCGTGCACAACTCCGAATAAACAAACTTGCGGGTTTCGTGTGTCGTGGAGTTTAAAGACATGGACAGACCCCAGCCACTACGACTTTCAGGTCTGGTGGTGAACAGAAGGAGGAAAATTTCAACGCCAACAGATAGGGAGCACCGCCTTCTGTTCAGAACGAATAGAGAATAGGCTGGAGCAAGTTGGCAGCCGGACAGGAGACGCGTGTCCAGCACTGACGGAGCAGGCGCCCGCTTTTCACCAGTGCATGCGTCCGAGTGTCATGAGCAGGGACATACCTCTGCCAGTCTCGAAATTGGTAGACCAGTTGCGATAGCCGTGATTGGTTGAAAACCCGACAGAGCCAGACGCGCTGGGAGCACCATGCATGGTCTCAGAAAGTCAGACGAAAGACTGTCACTGGTTCGTCTAGGCAAGTGTACGCCAAAGACGCAACGTTGCAGCAGGCGACGGTAGCTGGGCCACTACACGCATCCCACCGTGCTCGCCTCATTCACTGTTGCTGCCGGCTTCTAACGAGTCCTGTAATCCCGTTTGACTCCGGTTAGAGATACCCTCGTTCTCCTTCGCTGACATGACAACTGATGGCGCTCTGTCTGATTTGCCCGCGGGTTTCGTCTTTTGTCAGGCAGTGGCACTTCAGATTGCAAGTGCACTGTTGTGGCAACCAAATGAGCGGTAGCAGGACAACCGCGCAATCCTTGCAACTCCCTTGCCACGAAAATATCTCACCACCGCCATCACAACCCAGCCACTGTCATGACTCGTTCGACCGCCTGCATTTCCAGCCAAGACTTGGAGCCACATCCCCTACCTCGCGAGTTGGTGCATCTAAATTTTCGTCTGCAACGCCGGAGGATTTTTGTGACATGCACTGGAATCTGCAGAGCATGGCTGACCTCTGCCAGTTAGCAATTGGGTCATTCCAGAGCACCACTTGTTGGTGTTAGTGAGTATGCCCTGTAAGGGAATCCTATTTCGAGTAGCACGAGTGATCTAACCAAGAACTCCCCGCTATCCCTAGAGTACGACCCTCCCCGCCAGGACTTAGGTGAACTGGACTCCCCTGAATCAATACTAGGGGATAGTTGTTGGTCCTGGGAAGAACCAGGACATGGTTGACCTCCTCCCCTTTGGCTGGGTGCGTGAAGTACAGCTCATTCTTGCCTTCAGCCGGCTTTCGGTTAGTCATTCGTGTGATTGGCTGAAAGTCCCCGTCGCTGGTTTTGTGTACACGCATCCATCAGTAGTCCAGAACGCATATCACATTTCCAATACCCTTACACGGTTAAAGAGTGGCGCACTCAGGATATGAAGATATTCCGCCTTTTTCACCGTCCATGATATTTTTGCTACCTAGTCCGACGAATTCCCATCCATGATACGTAGCAGGCTACCTTCCTGTTGCGCGCAGTTAGTGTACGCTTTACACCTCGTTATCCTCGGCTTTGATCTTCCTCCGCTTCCCTTCGTCCATTTTTGACTTTCATTGTCCTCACCTGCCCACCCTGCCTCCTCTGATTGCATTCTTGAGAAACCCTCTTTTCGCAGTTTACGTTAGCATGCGCACAAACACAAAAAAGCACCTATTGGGTTCCCATATATGACAGTCCGACCGCTGACAGCGATGGCGTCCGCCTCGTGTCCTAAAGAGTTGACGCAGCAGCGATGACTTGCACGTGAGGTAGGTTGTGGTGAGACAGACTTGCGTAGCCTCTACCGCACTTTCACCCTCCTAACCCACCAGAATCTGACGGCATATCAATATCAAGACGACCGGAGGTAGGCTCGGACGCAGTGGCTCACGAAGCCCCCGGTGAGCCCTGTGCAAGCAAGTCCAAATATGCTCTATCTGAATGAAGTCAGGAAATTCAGGGTAGGCATTCGATGCAAAGACAGCTGTGTGGCACCGACTGCGGGCGTAGCCAATGGAGTTGAGATCACCGAAGAACCCCTGTTGCTTATGGCGCTAATAACTGCTATGGGACACGATCTTGATGCTGCCTCTTCGCTAGAGTTTCGTGTGTGTTTGAAACGCCTACAACTTAGTTCTTCTCCAGACCTTCACTGGTCACCACGTCGAATAATACTACTGATAACTACGATTATCAAAATACGACTAGTCAGCTGTCAGAAGTGAATAACAGTCCCCCAACTGGTTTCACCATGCCAGATTGTCATCCGCATTCACGTGGGTCCAGAACCAGCGTAGAGAGCTGCGTGAGGTGAGATTCCAGGCGCGACTGATATTAACTTAGTGAGACATTTCCGCTTCTTTGACTCCAGCGCTCGACTTTTTAAGAAAGCCATACATGTATTTGTATAATGTGACGTCTCAGGCACACTTCTGCAGCCTGCAAATATCGAAGTATGAGCAAAAAGAATAGACCCATCACTAAGCTCGGTGATTTTAGGCCGACCCCTCTGACCCTTGAACAGAAAGCTCCATTCCCAATAAACACTGATCACACAGAAGTCCTTAGGATTGCGAAATAAACTCCCCCCACTCTGGCTAGTCACCTAGGTATAAAGATCCCTACCAGCTCTAAATTTAAAAACCTTGCTCATACCGCCCCACTGTTTGTTTCCGGGGATGGTATTTGTTAGCCTCCGGGGTTGGATACCAGTGTCGCAACACTCCGTTACTGATGCTAGTATTATTGCAGTTAGTTACCCATACTGTAAGCGTTGGTAGAGTAGCATTGGCAGCCGTGGTGGCGGTGGTATTAGTAGTAGTACTAATAGTAGGAATATTAGTAGTATTCGCCGTATCAGTGGTGGTAGACGGGGGAAAAAGTTTTCTTCAGTGTTGCGACACTGTAATCCCGCCAGTGGTAGTAGTATTAGTAGTAACAGCGGTAGTAGTGGTAGTAGTAGCAGTAGTAGTGGTGGTGGTAGTAGTAGTAGTAGTAGTAGTAGTAGTAGTAGTAGTAGTAGTAGTAGTAGTAGTAGAAGTAGTAGTAGTAGTAGTCCGCCCGTAAGATAGGCTGGTGGGGAATAGACAATTCTAAGTGTTGCGACACTGTATTCCCGCCGCCTCCGGTAGCGCATTCCCATGCGACTGCGTATTCTGTAATCTAAAATCCTGGTCGTTTCCTGTTCACGCGTGCCTGTATTTGCTTGCATCCATCGCCTATCTTATTTGAGGTTATTGATAACCCACCCATCGTGGTTCATTGGTTGACCGTTGCTTTCGAGTACCTGTGGCTTACTGCAGACATGCACTTTTGGCAGTACTCACCTCTAGCCATCTTCTCATCTCTACAGCGCTGAATTTTGATTTGAACCGTGACATTTCGACCGTCGCGAAGGACGATATCCACCGTGTGCACCCACAGCAGAGTGGGCGCGGGGACAGCGACTTGCGCGTAAATTATTTTATAGTGATAATATACAGTAGGTGGGCTAACTCATGAAGTAGCAACCGAAATTCCCAAATGCGGTTTCGTTTCGAAAAGATTACTGCAGAAGGATTGTAAAGCTAATCAGCCTGCAGCATAATTCTATAATAATTCAGTTACCTGGGGATGCCGGCTTTCGAAGGAATTCCCTTCCGGCTGCATGCAAAAACTATACTCTGTAAAAAATGATTACTTATGTATCATGCATTTTTTCATTGATTTTCGATGCCCTTAAAGATTCAATTATATTTCATGGAAAACGTGCACAAAAATATTCATTTTTACTCTCTCAGAAAAAAGGTACGTCTTCTTCCAATCTTTTACTCGAGGGGAGGGTACTATTTGTTTTTCAAAAAATTTTCCAATTCCCGATTAATTTTGAACCCGTACTGCCGTTAAACTTGAATTCAGGGTTTCCAAACTACAAGCCGTATATTTTTCGTTTACAGAAAACCACACATTTTTTACAGTAATAAAGGGGACCATATGGGGCTCATAAAATTTAGCAGTGGATTTGGACCATTTTGTTAACTTTAGAAGCCACATTGGTTAATGCAGAGGCATGACGTTTTATGAACGGCCAGTTCACGATGTTAAAAAATCTCACACTTAGAAACTTTTTAAAGGCCGAATTCTATCCCTCCTTCGAGTATAAAATTAGAAGAAGACGTACTTTTCCACTGAGCGAGCAAAAGAATGAATATTTGTATGCATGTTTTCCATGAAATCTAATTGGACTTTTAGAAGCATCGAAAATCAATGAGAAAAATGCATGCTGCATAAGTAATCATTTTTTTAAGGAGTATACTTTTCTCATGGAGCCGGAAAGAAGTTCGTTCAGAAGCCGGTATCTTGAGGTACCTGAATTATTATATAATTGTGCTGCACATTGATTAGTTTTACAACCCTATCTAATTAATCTTTTCGAAACGAAAACGCATTTGGGAATTTCAGTTGACATTTCATCAGTTAGCCCACCAATTGTACTCGCGCTGCATATACCGCACTCGCTCCTCTCTCACCCTCCCGAGACCAGTGTCAAGACAGGGTCAAAAATACCAGAGACGGCATCAGACGCTGTGCCTGACAAAGTTAAACAGCCCGTGTGCTCGTGTCCGGTGCGAGCAGGATGGACAGAAACAGGAAACAGAAAAAGGAAACAGGAAAGTGCGATTCGGATCCCAACTGAATGGGAGGGCCATAAATGCTATATTCGGAAGGAGTCAATGCAGCCTGAGGACCGGGTTATCCCGTCAGATGACGACCTTGCAAACCACGGCTTCTAATGCACCGTGGTGACTTAAAGTTACAATGAATGACTGATCTCATGAAATGTTGGCGAAAATTCTGAAATGCTTTTTTCGATTAGAAGGGTTTACTTAGGTGAGGTTGTAATATTGGTGAGCCCGCGGCATAACCCTATAGTATTTCGGATTCGGCGGTATGCCGTCTTTTGAATGCACTCCTTTTCGATCTCCCGTAGTAATCGCGCTTGGTACAAAATGACTGCTTATGTAGCATGAATTTTTCACACAGATTTTCGATGTTCTTAAAAATTCAAATATATTTTATAAAAGACATGAACAAAAATATTCTTTCTCCCACTTGTTTGATAGAGAATCACATCAACTTCATATTTTATACTTGGTGAAAGAGTATTATTAGGTTTTAAAAAAATTTTAATAATGAGGTTTTTTAAGACCATGAAGTGTCCATTCATACAGTATCGTACCTCTCCGTTTACCACTGTTCTTTATTAAATGTACGGCATAGTCCGCATCCATTGCTAAATTTTATGAACTCAGTATGGCATCTATTTAAAGGCATGGAAAAATATATGATTTTCCTTACGTTGAATGCATGCACCCTGTAAACTGAAATCACTAGGCGCTAGTGCAACGGCTGATCAGGCTCTAAATTATTCGGAAATAAGAAAAAATTTTTAAAATCTAACAATACTCTTTCACCAAGTATAGAATATAAAGTTGATGTGATTTTCTATCAAACAAGTGGAAGAACAAATATTTTTGTTCATGTTTTTTATAAAATATACTTGAATTTATAAGAACATCGAAAATCAGTGTGAAAAGGCATGCTACCTAAATAGTCATTTTTTCGAAGCACGGTTTCTATAGGAGATTTAAAAGCTGTGCATTCAAAAGCCGACAGCCTGACAAATCCGAAATACTATAGGGTTATGTCGCGGGGTAATCAATATTACAATCCTACCTAAGTAATCCTTCCTGATCAAAAAAGTATTTCCGAATGTTCGCCAACATTTCATGAGATCGGTCACGCACTGTATGTAAGATTGCTTGCAATGAGAAATGCACTACCGTCGGCCTCCCTCTCTATTCCTTCTTCCGTGCACCAGTCGATCGTCCCAGCCGACCTGCCAACTGCTGCTAAGGTCGAACGTTGGGACTGGCAGAGCTGCGCAGTCCGTCTACGCATGACACACGCGGCCTAGCCCTCCAACACAGCACACCAGGCAGAATGACATTTCTGACAAAGACTGGAAGGGCCACTTCTGGCTCATCAGTCGCCGTCAACCTGTCATACCCAATCCCGAGGTGTTCAACACTTGGGGCTCGATGTCACCTCGGGTTTGGATATGACTGTTGATGACTAGCAAGCCGGAAGTGACCATTCCAGTCTGTCTTGTCATTGACAGCAATGTTATTCTGCCTATATTACGAGCCGAGAAGGCTCGAGAGGGAGTCCGTAAGGCACAAAAGGGACGAGCGGATTCTGTAACACGATCGGTGAGCGACCCCCCCCCTCCCCACCACAACACACCAGGCTTTCATACAAGGGGTGGGCTGTCCAGATCACACATGCGTCAGTGTCATAGAGACCACATGGAGGAGGAGGAGGAGGAGGAGGAGGAGGAGGAGGAGGAGGAGCCGAGGATCATGTTTACCACTTGCGTGAGGGGTGTCGATTCCGTGCCTGTGATGGGTGGTGCGCGACAGGTTCGTGTGTGTGTTGTATGTGCTTTGTGGTTAAGGGGTTTGGCTTGCGGGATTTTGCGGTGGCTGAATATGCGATGGCAGTGTGGACAAGTAAGGCGTGGGTAATGGGTGTATTTCGGTGCTCCAGGCACTGGTTAGTCGGTCTCTGTGCGATGGAATCGCAAGTGGCCGACCAGGCCGACGCACGATATCAAGTTGCGATCGCCATGGGCGCAAATTAGAATCGAGTCCACATTAAGTACGTACTCGTGTAATTGGTGACAGGCAACATGACAAGCCGTACAGCCTCAAATCCCTTTATCACAGCAGACATAATAATACCCAATAATGGTTAATCCAGAGCGAATAACTGAATGTCCGATCCTTATTATCACCCCGTCGGTAAAATATCCTAACAGAGAAAAAACATGTCGGATTCCCTGACCCATAACAGTTAAGAGCAGCGATAAGTGTACGTTAACCCGCACTTTTCGAATAATAACGCGGACAAGGTCTTTGTAAAGCTTGAAGTCTGAACACGATGCACTGACATGGCAGGGAGTGAACGACCTCTGGCGCATTGGACGTAAGAGCACACTAGTTTACGCACAGGATTTATCAAAGGAAAAACTTTTTCTTCACATGTAAGAAGGCCTTCTTCTGGAAGACAAAGTCAAAAGTTTACAGGAGTCCATTGTTGAAAATGAGACCTTTATGCCCCCTCTGTGGGGTGACGAGGCGGGGAAGGGAGTTGAGCACAGTCTGTTTCAGGGCACAAAATCCAGTTTTTCCGAAAACACGAGCACGACCTGCTCTAAGTTCGACTACCTAAATGCAGAGGGGTAGGAGGAAAAAAACACTTTCAGGGGGTTTTGATGAAATGAAAGGTTTGAGTGCAATGTTAGGAAACAAAAAGCCTTCAAATGACATCATGCCACTGGCTTTTTACACAGGGAGCGAAACGCAAACCCCTGCTAACGCAGCCACAATTTAGGAGAGCTAAAGCGACTACTACTCAGAGCGGCCCAAACGAAACGAGCAGGCTCAGTAGGGAGGATCGGCGGCTGGTTTATTGGTGAGGTGACGCTCTGAGATGGCAGCGTGGGACCTCCTTTTAAATGGTAATTTCAGTCGGCAGTGGCAAGTCGTAAAATGCACAGAATGACCTATGTACCTCCCTCTTTTGCTGTTAAGTTACGTATATCTGTCTTTCGTCAGAACACAGTAGAACGCCCCGTTAAGGGGCGCTCACAGGGGGCCGCTTAACAAGCAATCAACTGGGATAACCGTGATAACTTTTGCAGTTGCCTCGTTTATTAAGGTGTTTCTTAAGTCCCACCAATATGCCAGTTTCGCTCATTGATCTGATCGACGATCTTCATGATTACGATTGCAGAGGCAAGGGTGTATGAACAACAGTCACTGAACGAGACCCACACATACAGCCGACGACCAACACGGATTGGGAGTGCCTCCATCCCCCCTCCGCAACGTTTAGACAAAGGTTTACGCAATAAATAAAGGGACGGTCATAAGAGGAGCCACCATAACGATCGTAGAAAACGATGTTTGAGGGGGCAAATCTCAATAGCTGTGGTCAGAAAGGCGCTAAGAGAGTCAGCTGCTATAACCCAAACCGAGTTCTTTGGTGCAAATCACGTCTATTCTTTACTAACGTCTCCTTGAGGACCTGCGTCCAGCTAGTCCCTCAGTACCCTAGCCTAGTCGATTTTCATACTGGGGAGTTCTAGTCGGAGTCGAACCTTAAGAGTCATCGCGCTCTATGGCAGACACCAGTAAACGGGACATCAGTCTTACCATATCTCTGTTAGTTGTGATCTCTGGTGGAGGCCGGCCTCCAGGAGAAGGGGGAGTAAAAAGGTGCCTTCATGGTGAGAGAAAGGGCTACAAATTTCCTGTCGGAAAGAGCACCTCACGACGGTGAAATTTGTTACTACGCCTTACCGCGGCACCCAGAATGGGCGCCGCTGTAGATGCGGTTTACGACAATTTAGGTCGGACTGACCCACGGCACGCTTTTGTCGAGCTGTTCTGAGCCATATAAGCCTACAACTACTGCCGTAGTGTATACTGTGGCATGGAAGTCGGCCAGACGACGGCATGACTCGGTTCTCATGTGAGTGTTTTGGAATGACTGGAGGGCCGAGATTAAAGCCACAATGTCTCCTTAATATGGCCTTTATGATATCCCCATTTATGCGAGATTCAAGTCGCCCTAACAGTAGCCTGGACACGCAGTGGGGACAAGGTCGTGCACGGTACGCGTAGGCGGCCATCACAACGGGCTGTACTGTAGGTGCGTTGGATCAAGACAGGAATCAGACTGACCCACAGTACGCGTTACTCGGGTTGAGCGTGTTGGGAGTGCCAACAAAAACAAGAGCCAACCAATCACTGGAGACTACGTGCGTTTGCTCTCTCTACAGCGCTGTCATCTCAATCGAGCGCCTCACCATTGGCTACTCCCCTCTTCCCGAAGGTCATTGGGCCGAATGCCGGCGAACCACTGTAGGGTGTTCTAAATATGCGTCACCTTTCAGCTCGTCGCGACTTTCAGTGTTTTTCTAATACACATTCTGTGGCCGGCCGTTTTCTTTGTCTGCTGCTTTGGTATTGGGGACAAGGGTCGAGTACGTATACGCTCCATGGGATTTCAAGTACCAGGCGGGTCATAACAGAGCAGAGTCCGCTCAAGGCCATAACTAATGCCCAAGCAACGGATAATCGTACTCAGAAATGAGTTTACCATCAGCTAGAGAGCGAGATGATGCCTTCACTTCGTTAGTTGGATAGGTGGTTGTAGAATATCATGCAAATCATAAACCATATGTAAAACACGACCGCTAGAAGGCAGGAGGCCTTGTACACAGCAGCACAAGTATTTCCTACACGGCAGGTATGACTGTAACATTCCAACCCACAGAAAAACGTCTTCTTTAACGCCTTCATTAGATTACTTACCATCATTCCTAAACTTCTTTCGGCTGCATAGGGCTGTAGAATTTGCGCCAGCAGCTACGTTCTTCAATGTCCGGTACGAGACCAAGCCAGGCAGGCTGCCTAGTCACGTAGTCACTGTAATTGACGGTGAGCTTCTCCTTCGAGGTGTAGTTGGCCGATGCCGGAGGTGGTAGACGATAGGGATAGAGGGCATACTGCATCAGTCGGGGAAACATGTGCTCCAGCAACTGGACTGCAACGCAAATATGCGAGAAGGTGGGTCCGGCAATGGTGAGTCGTCGACGAGGCAGACCCTTCTTCAGGGACTTCCTGCCCTCCAGCTCACCCAGACGAATTCTACAGCTGGTGTTGATTTCGATGTATACTACACGTCGGTCACGTATGGCATCGCGGTATTCCTGACTGTCCAGAATCATTCTGCGAGCCTCATCGTCCGGTGCGTCGTTGATCTGAGCAATGAGTTCATTCCGTCGGAACGGAAATGTGTCTACATCCACCTGTCAGAACAAGTGGAAAAGAGAATAGAGTGTTCGAGAGCAAAGTAAAACGATTGCCAGTTGACAACCCTTTGTGACCGTCGACGCTATCAGGCATGATGTTTAATCGTGGACGGTCAACCTGTAGACTGAATTACACCATAGATTATGCAGACTGATGTTTAGTATCATTTAATGCAGTGCTGTGCACAGAACGTTCGACTTAGTCACTTTAGTGCTACATACCTGGGGCAGCGCCCCGCTGAAATGAGGCTTTGACATCCACAAGTCATTACATGAATGTGACAGACAGGACGTGCTGCCGACATCTGATTGGCCAATCCTAGCCTATTTGACCCAGGCTGCGTTACTTGGTTCGAACCGGAGCAGCTCACTTTGAAGAACGCTAAAGGTTAGAACATTTTCCGTAAGTACCGAACAATGCACGTTTCCTGTTTAAGAGAACAGTTAGGGACCTCGACCAATTTCCGTCCTTAAATAGGTCCAGACCAATGAGCGTCATTTGCACGACAAATCTTCGTTTCTACTCTGCGGCAGAATAAACGGGGCGATCATTACGGGACGAGGATGGTCCGGAACAGTGACACGCTTCCTAAAACAGTAGATCTCTCCGACCACAACCGACAGGACAGCAGCCCTCTGGCTCAGTTTTTGAGCTTTGGGCTACTTAACGCTCGATGACCAAAAAACCAGGGTTCGAATCCTAGGGCAACCAGGCCATTGTATATACCCCATCACAAATGACAGGACAACGAGCCCCTGGCGCAGTGGTTAGGGCGTTAGAGACCTAACTAACAGGTCGCGGGATCAAATCCCATGGGTTGTACACATCAGAGTTGGGAATGGCTGGTTGGCAACGGCTATCATCTCAGAAATGATCACCCAAGTCTCCCTCGTTTTTACAATTACTCCCTCCGACAGCTATCTCTTTGGACAACTTGTTAGGAAGATCTGATCGTAATCCGTTTTTTTATAATCTTTCGTTCTATAAATACTGGCTGATTATGGTTATTTTTAGGCCCATCGTCGGGCAAACGTGGTTTCCTATAAGTGGACAGTTTAGACGGACACACCGAAGGCCGTTGCCTAGTACCGTTCTCATACTGCTGGCCTATTTTCACCATGCTTCGATCTACAAAAGGCGACTAGGAGAACCAAAGGCGAGAATAGACGCAGAGTCGTTCGAATTGGTTTAAAAACACATTTTCGCTAGAATCCATGATAACCTCGGTATGATCGTGTGTCAGCGTAGATGGCCGGTGTCACTTCCCTCGTAACTTTTTACGCCCCCCAAACACCACCACCACCACCACCACCACCAGTGCTTGCCGCAACACGCTCCTCTCGCCTTCCGCGTCAGTAAGCTTCTCGACCCCGTTGGGCGCGGTACTATGATCTCCCTGTCCCCGTATTACTGGTAGCTCTGTCCTAACGTCCTGGAGAGTTAGGATTGGGGTTAGATCCAGGAGAGGGGAGCAGAGCCCCCTAGACCTGAGCGCGAGGCCATTTACGGTGCTCGAGGGGGGGGGGGAATATTTCAGTGTCCGACCCACGTGCCTTACCTGCAGTTGCCCACAGCGCTGCATCCCACATCGTTTGTTGAGGAGGCATCACTGTGTCACCTACCATCCAGCTGGGTCATTTTCTTGTTGTAACTTCTCCCTCTTGTTTACACACTTACTCTATATACACTTACTCTACATTACAGTATGTGGGCTAACTCATGAAATGTCAACCGAAATTCCGAAATGCGTTTTCGTTTTGAAAAGATTAATTAGGTAGGGTAGTAAAACTAGTCAGCCTGCAACATAATTCTATAATATTTCAGTTACCTCAGGAGTCCGACTTTGGAGGCATAAAAATATTCATTCTTTTGCTCATTAGGTAGAAAATTACGTCTTATTCCAGTTTTATACTCGAAGGAGGGACATAATTCGGTTTTCAAAAACGTTTTCCAATTCCCAAATAATTTTGAACCCGCTCTACCGTTACACTTGGATTGAGGGTTTCCAAACTATAAGCCGTATATTTTCCGCGTATGCAAAAGCACACATTTCTCTACGGTATTGAGAGGAGACCATGTGGAGTTCATAAAATAAAACAGTGGATTTGATCCATATCGTTAACTTTACAGGACACATTGGCAAATGCAGAGACATGACGATTTATGAACGGCCATTTCACGTTATTTAAACGTTCCACAATTAGAAACTTTTTAGGCCGAATTATGTCCCTCTTTCGAGTATAAAATTAAAAGAAGACGTAATGTTCTACCGAACGAGTGAAAGAATAAATATTTTTGTGCATGCTTTTCATGAAATATAATTGGACCTTTAGAAGCATCGAAAATCAATGAGTAAAGTTCATGCTACTTAATTAGTCATTTTTTGCAGAGTGTAGTTTTTGTATGCAACCAGAAGGAAGTTCATTCGAAATCCGATATCCTGAGGTAACTGAAATATTACAGAATGATGTGGCAGGCTGACTAGTTTTACAACCCTATCTAATAATTCTTTTCCAAACGAAAACGCGTTTCGGAATTTCGGTTGCCATTTCATGAGTTAGCCCACCTACTAAAAATCTATTCTGTTATTGACCTATCTTTTGTACCCACCTAGACCTTTTTCTATCTTGTTTGATTGCGATGGAATGCCTGACAACTTTGCTTCGCCTATTCAAGACCAGGAAATGTCCGTTTTACATCACACCGTGTGTGCATTCCACAACATCCTCGATAGCCACAGCCGTGACTGAAAAGGCAGTTATCGCCCGTTTACAACAGCCACGCAGGTATTGGTGTCTAACTCAAATGAATCAGGACCCTCAGATGCGGGTAGTTCTATCCCGTCGGCATCTTCATTCAGGAGCCACTGTGGTCTAACTTAAGGCGAATATTTATCTAGTTATAAGCCAACTGAAAACTTTGCAGGATCCAAAATTTAAGGCGCCTTACTAGTTTCCGTAGTGTTACACAAAAAGGACCTGATCGCGAGCCACCAGTTTCATTAAAAAATAGATAGTATTGTCCACAGGGCAGCGGTAGCAAGTTAGAAATCAAGAATAACTTACATCGCTTGGGCGACTGTAGACAAATATGCAATAATGGCATGGAAATTGTTCGCACAACCCGAGAGTAATTGGACTGGCATTGTCCAAGTCTCGTTCACAAGTCGCATCCGGTTCAATGGGTCCGGTCATTGGTAACTCTGGCACTGCAGACAATCTAATGAAGGGGTCCTCGGGCTCGGGAGGTGGTTCAGGCTTCTGACGTGGCCCGAAGCAGCCCGTAGTAGCCCTCGGCTTGGGCGGGGGTTGGGGTGGGGCCGGTGACTTCGACCACCGTCTGATGCGCGTACTGCTCTCGGGCCTGGTTCGAGCAGAAGAGATTGAAAGTTTACCCGCCTGGCCAGCCCCCGCGCCCGCATCTGTGTTAGTGTTGGAGAAATTCCGTGACACGGGCTGCGCGCTGTTGCAGGACTGATGGTCGTTCGTGGGGGCGCTGATTTTCTGGTCTTTGGTAGCGTACCTGTTCAGAATTGCCATCGCCTTAGTGTACGCGTCATCGCCCATTCCCAGGTCTTCCGAGTTCATTAAGCGTTTGAACTGTGTCACCCCGCCCAAAGCGATCAATTAACTTCGAATGAAGACATCACACGTGATTTCAAAGGAGGCTGTTATTTCACAGCTGTGGCCTGGTTGACATTTCGCGCGGACGATATCCACGGGGTATGAATGGAGACCAACGAATTACTGCGAGATAACTACCATTTAGTAGAAAAAAATTAGTTCGTCGGGGGATGTGCACATCCAATATCCCTAAATAGCCCTTCCGAATGCGCTCTGCTGGTAGGCACAACAAATGCCCTGCATAACTAACCAATTACGAGTACATTTCATTTAATCAACCCACGAAACGGACCATAGTTTAGAATGCAACAGCCATGAGGGACTCGAATTTCATCGTAAACTTCGATGTATTTGTCTAACGTGAGCAGTGCAACAAGTCACGAATTCGAAATCCGACCCTCCCAGTAATCTGCAGCACTCTCGCGTAGGTAGGCTAGTTCTGGGAACAAATACTCCATCCTAACAACCGGCGTAACAGGTCTACGACCCGCCAACACCCACCTTATTTATTCCGGCCCCTAGAACGCTAGTCGTAGACTGGCCGTTTCTTGCGCGAGAACACCCGTTAAAAAATCTAGAATCACCGGTGGGCCATTGATTGGGCCGCGCGCGAGCGTGAGCAACGGTATCACAAGTGCTCGATTATGTGCTGTACGCTGATTGGCTGCCCGATTTCGGGGGTGCATTTAGCGACCGACTTGACATGCCGTGTCGCGTCGGGCGTGGTCATGTCTTCCTTTCGTTCGAGGCCGTGACTCCCCTCGGTTTCCGCTCCCCATAAAACCCTGTGTTTTCCCTCATGATCCCAGTTCAAAAAATGAACCACAAAAATGAGTCTGGAATATGCAAACTACAGAAGGAGTTTGTTTAAGGCCCGTGCTCATTTAGATAATCTTTGGTGGCGTGCGTATAACTTTGGAAAAATTTTCCAATTTGACTTTATACTGCACATAAGGCCTCAAATTAAAAACATTTGTGATCTTGTGCACTTCGAAAATAATTAATCGACTCATCGGACGACTTTGGGTAGTTATCGAACAATTTTCTATTTGACGAACACCTTCAAAGTCAGAATTTGGGTGAAACCATAATACACGGGTTTAAGTTCTAGGCTTGATCTTTTTAAACTTAACACTTCGTTGATAATAATGCATCACGTAGGATTGCTTGTATTTACGAACGCACAATACCATTAGGATTCTAAGCTGATTCTCACGTTTTCTTTTTATCGGGAATGCTCATCTGTAGTTCTTGTTTTCCGTTTGGGGAGCAGATTTGGGAAGAAAACACAATGGGTATGCACGACACTTGCTCTGCGAGCATGCAAAAGAACGAAAGTGGCCATTTCTCCAACACTGCAAAAGTCCATGGTTAGCCTCGAAGCTCATAAAAACGTCGACATACTGAAAACATCCGCGTGCATATACTTGTGTCGTTAAAAGTCCCCAACTGGAGGAAAGCATACATATAAGCATGAACATACTCAACAGCTGGACCTTCGCAGGCGATGTGCCGCACAGCATGGCGGGCACAGGACAAGGACTTGTGCGTGAATTAGTTTGTAGTGGGACAGACTTGCGCAGCTCCTACCGCACTCTCTCCTCCATCGCCCGCCTGGGTCCGAAGGCAAGGCGACGTCAAGAGGGCCAGGGGTGGGGACGAGTACAGTAGCTAACAAAGCTAGGCAGCCACACGACCTTGTCCCTACCACATGTGTCGGGTCATAATAAGGGAGGCTGGGATCCCACGTCAGCGAGAAGGCTATAAAGGCTGCATTGTGATGTAGCCATCGCAGCCTGGCCCTCAGTCTTCAAGTCATTCCAAAATACTCCTATGAGTAGGCAGCCTTCCTAGCCACGATTTATACTGCGTCGTGATAGACTCCACCGCGTCAGAAAAAAATGTCTCACTTCATTCCCTGTCAGAGTAATTCTGCTTATCCCCGTGATTTGGAACGTTCGTTATCTTTTAGACAACCCAGTGGTCACTCTGCGAGCTAAATGCCGAGGGGGCTCGGGTCCGCTGTGCTTAAAATCTGTGCAAAACGCTTCTTCCGCCGCAGGTCGCAATCATTAGGGTGTTCTGATGGCACCTAAGCACACCAGTTTTACTATTGTGAGGAGTGGCCCGAACTATGATGAGGGAGGGTCATTCTGTATCGATCCCATTCTGTCCCCTCCTGCATGCGTGTTATGTCGGTTTGGTAATAATGGGGATTGGCCCAATGGCCAGGGCGATATAAGTCTCAGCCCAACGCGTGCCACACGCATCTACGACAAAAGTCTGTGATTTGCGGAGTCTCATCACATCCCGCCTGTTGCTTGCATAGAGTCGATATAATCCTTGTTTTAGTACGACAGCGCAACGCGTTTGGGAGACCGAAAATCGCAGTCGCTCTGGCAGTCCCGCCAGCACCCACGACCAGACGTCGTCGGCTAGCGCGTAGCCGGTATGAATCCTTACCCCTCACCTTTCGTCATTCGTGAACGTACATCCCAGACTCGGCCCACGTAATAGATAAACTCACGACCAACACTCAGTTAGTCACTTGCTTGTGTTGGTGAGTACATGTCAGACCCACGGAAACTGGACTCCACAATCTCCTATTCGCACGCTCCCCAACGGGCGTCCTTTTCTGACCCACAAGTAGACTGCCGACTAACGGCAACCTGCCCTCGGCTCTCTCTGCGCTGCGACTTTTGTCATCAGACGGGATGAGCCTATTGTGTGTGGTTTAGGTCAGATCTGATCTTGCAGCCCTCCCTGAAATGGCTGAACGCCGATGGCCTGTAATACGGGAATGGTGGTTAAGGGGATTTTACGGGTGAGGCAGTCGGACACGTCAGTGAGATGGCTGTGAAATTTCTGTGAAAAAATGAGTTAATAAAGGGTGCAGTAAAACCTTGAATGAGCTAAAGGTGAAGCGCCAATAATGAAAGTACGCTAGGGATCTAACCACTCAATCGAAAGCGACTATGCGTGATCAACGTTATACGGCACGGTTTGCAGCGGCACCAGATGAAGATTATATTGCTGAACTATTGATTTGTTTTGGTAGCCCAGATTGTGCTGAAGTAGTACAACTGCGAATTGCCACAAAAGAAACGGGCAGTCTTGTGCTCGGGTTTAGAGGTATGGTTAGTCTTAGGGCTTGGGTTAGTGCGATCTTTTGGTTCAGGGATAGGGCAAGGGTTAAGTTTGCCCCTACTCTAACCCAAACCGTAGCCGCAGACCTAACGCTAACCCTAACCCCTAGCTCCAACCCATAACCCCTAACCCTGACAACTCGAAGGTTAGGAGGAAACGACAAACACCGAGACGACGTAATTACGTCTACTCAAAGCCAATCAGTAGCTCAACAGTATTATGTCCTGTACGCATGGCTGTACAATCAGATCATATCATGGTTTAAGTTTATCTCATATCCTTTTACCTCCACAACGTGCCCGTGGGAGTGTACAGCATGATTCAGATAGCCTTTTTTCCAACTATCTTGCCGTGATCGGTCAGGACTGCCACGAAGTCAGCGTGAAGATCTGAGGGCTTTTATGTCAAGTCAGTGGTTGCGACTACCCTCCTTGTGCCAGAAAGCCCATTCTGCATCAATGAGTCACAGGTGTGAACATCACTCATCACAGTTTTGGCCTCTCCTTCCGCGGCATGTTTTCTCTCACCATCACAGGAAGTCTGGAAAACAAACCTAACTGTTGACATACCTGCAGATTGCGTGGCTTACTGAACGACCACTGCGTAAATGTATCAGTCAAGCGTATGCAGGCTCTTTTGCAAGCGTCACATCAGTTACCAAAGCTACTCAGAATAAACTGGAACTAAAACCCACATGTGATCACTTTTGATAGAAACCCTGGGAGACAGAGTAAGGGATTCTAATTGCACTGTGTGCTGCCCGATGCGTTTGTTTTTCAGATAAAATCTAGACGGTTTTGTTTAACTCGATCCGGTTTGTGCGTAAGGGGGTGAAGTTTAACAGCATTTGCCCGAATGACATTATGGATAAAAACAAGGGAGACCGGAATGGCTACTTCTGGTTTGTTAGTCGTCATAAGCCAGCCATACCCAACCCCGAGGTGTGCAACACCTGGGGCTAGATCCCGCAAGCTGTTGATTAAAAGTCCAACGCCCTAACCACTGAGCTACGGGCTTGTTGTCCTGGCGGTCGCGATCGGGTATATACAACGGTAATGGGACGCTCACGGACCGCGTTACGGAACCCACTTCTCACGCCGTGCCTTGGGGCTCTCTCTCGAGCCCACCCCCCTTGTCCTCGGCGGTAATGTCACTCGGCCTATGTTATACACCGCTATATGCTGTTAATGGGGCTTAATATAGAACCCCGAGACACAACGGGACGAGCGAGTTACGTAACGCGCCCCTATACCAACTTTTGGCTCGAACAAGCCTTTATCACAAAGTGGTTTAATATTATATCAGATAATGAGAATTGCCGGAAAGTGTCTGCTGTGCGACAGTTTGACCCTTACAAACAAAAATGTCCGCCGTATGCTCTACAATGTAGTGACATTTAAGTCCGTCTTGTTTTAATCAGTTAAAATACGCTTATTAAATAACTTGACACAACTTTGAATAAGACAAAGAACTAGCACGTGCATTTTTACCTGCTGACGACTTTGTTCCCATTTACTTGTTTGTAACTGTTGGGATACTTCCATCTTCGTTTCCCGGATAGCCTTCTTACTGTGTCCAACTAATGGCTGTATCACTTGCAACAGCGTGATGGGAGCAGAACGGTGAATTCGTTTATAGTGGCACCAGACGTGTGCGATATCTACCGCACTCTCTCCCCCGCCCACAGCTAGGCCCGATGTCAGGACAGAGTCAAGAAAATCGCGCACGGACTGGAAGAACTAAACGTGTCACATACGGCCTGGTCTCCACACAATGCACGAGGTTTTCACGAAATGGGTGGGCGGCTGGGATCCCAT